AATTTCTCTAATTTTATATATAATTTATTATATTTTTAAAACAAATTTATATTAATAGCATCATATTCTTAGAAAATAAGATATTTCTTATGTATTAAGTTGTTCTCTTGAAAATATATTTTTCTATTAGAAATTTAAAATTAAGATATAAAAAGTTGTAGTTATTTTATAATTGAAATAAATTTACATTAATAATACAAAATAATTAACTTATTTTCTAAAATATCATATTATTAATACAAATTAGTTTTAATTATATAATCAATAATAAAAAAAATTATATAAATTCAGATAAATGATCAAAATTACCTAGGATTATGGAGACAAATCTCAAATTCACTTTCAAATAATTGTTTTGATTATTTATATTTAATTATTAATAATATAATTTTTATATCTTAATTTTAAGTTTTATAATAGGAAAATATATTTTCAACATAACATCATAATACATAATTATCTTATTTTAGAAAATATCAAATTATTAACATAAATTCGGTTTATTTATATTTAAATATTCAATTATTAATAGAAATTCGTTTAAGATAAGTATAAAAGTCTTTATATCTTAATTTAAAATTTCAGTTTTATAAATAAAAATATATTTCAAGATAATAACATAATTCAATAACAACATAATTCACAAGAATTNTCTTATTTTCTAAAAATATGATATATTCTTATAATTTGTTTTATTTATATATAAAATATATAGAAATATTAAAAATTTGATAAATAAATAAAATTACCTAAACTTATAGAGAACATGACAACTAAGCAAATTTATAGAAAATAAGATAATTCATATAAATTCGTTTTATTTATAAATAATATATATATATATATATATATATTAAAAATATGATAAATAAATAAAATTACCTAAACTTGTGGAGAACATAACAACTAAGCAAATTTGCTTCTTAAATAATAGTATATAAGATTTGTTTTATTTATAAATAAGATATATATAACTATTAAAAATATGATAAATAAATAAAATTACCTAAACCTATGGAGAACATGACAACTAAGAAAATTTACTTCTTAAATAATAGTATAGATATATAACTATTAAAAATATGATAAATAAATAAAATTAACTAAATTTATGGAGAACATGACAACTAAGCAAATTTACTTCTTAAATAATAATATAGATTACGTTTAAGGTTAAATTTTTTAATGTAAATAATATTTTATACAGGAACAAGACTAAATTTTCTTCATACAGATCTTTGTTTTTTTTTGGTTAAAGCAAACGTTTATACTCATAGCATTGATAGATATTGTGGGGCATTGGGTGAAAACAAGTACATCGTTTAAGAATGATATGATTGTTTGTTCAGTTGTGTTAGTAGGGGGCAGAACAGAGAACTCAAGATATGTCACGGTTTCAGTTGGGCCTCTTTTATATGTGTTGATATATGGGCCTATTTTACATAAAATCCAAGTTCGTAATTGTATCGTCAGCTTGGGTTATATACATCATTGCCAGTTTGCCACATCATTTCTCTCCTTTTTAACAGTTGGTTAATCAAATATCAACACATATAATCAAATATCAACACATATATATACCCTAATTTTTATAATGATGTTACACATGGCACTTCCCGCAGACGATGAAGCTACCTTCACATACAGATTTTGATATAGGGTAATGCTACAATAACAACCAGGAAAAATAGTCCAAGAGTCATCAAATTAGAGGTCTTACGAAATAAAGCACAAACAAAAATTTTACATGTAACACATGCATGCACTTACCCTAGAAGCGAGACCATGAATATTAAAGAAAAAACTCTTTAGGTCCAAATAAGATTTCTCCAACGATCCAAAATCACACACACACATGAATTAGCAAGAACTAGTTACAAATTAATATCCATATATTTAAAGAGAGAGAGAGATGACTTCAGTTACCTTGAGAAGTAGAGAAATGGGAAGATGAAAATGGTTGAAAAGATTTGCCTGTAGAGGATAAAAACCCGAGGGCTTGTTCCATTAACAAAATTAGCTTTTTCAGAAAGATTTGCCTGTGTTTGGATTTTCTTCTGTTAATTTGTGTTAGGACAGAAGGGGATTTTTCAGATCTCTGTTACAGTTTACTGTGCTTGGAGAATATTCGATTTGAATCTTCACTTCTGAGTTATTTAAATTGTCTCTTTGTTCTTGATTCATCATGACATCTTCAGCTTTACCCCAAAGCACAATATAAAGTCCCATGATCACACATAATCCTCCAATTAAGCTAAGAAAAAAGATTAAAATATATAAATATGATGTTTATCGATTATAGTAATCTTATATTAAGGAAATATTACTTTTTTACCTTCCGGTGAATAACTCTTCTTGAAGGACCAGAGAAGCCAAGATTGTGACAATCACTGTGCAGAGAGGGTTAAACATTGCTGAGAACAAAGGACCTCTCTTAGATATAACCCAAGCTTGGACCGTAAAAGCAAGCGCTGACGATGTAACTCCCTAGTAATCGCAGTTCAAATTAGGGTTTCTGTTAATATCTTTATTAACCTAATTAATGCTAAAAAGAGAACTGAATCTTTTATGTGCGTACAGCGTAGAGACACGTGGCAAACTCGGAGTAAGAATGAAGCATCCAAGCGTTTGGGTCTTTCTCGAAGAAGAAAGTGATGACTGCACATTGTATCGTGCCGAATAAACACATCCAGGCTGATAGAGAGAGGTGGTCCGGGTAATAGGCAGAGACTGGAACCTAGAGTATGTTGAAATAAAGATTACTTATCTTCTAATGCAATAAACGTTACTAAAACTGTAATAGTCTTTGTTGTTTGATGAAGTTTACTTGGAACGTTAGCCAAAAAGAGTAGCAAAGCGTGCTAGCGAACACGCACAAACAACCAATGAGCCACATGTTCTGGTCCGTATGATCTCCTAGTAACGATTTTTCTATCGGTAAAGTATATTCCGAGTTGAGAATCTTTGGTCCACGAAGCAGAGTCATTGAGACTGCTCCTACTACACATAGTACCGTTCCTGATATCTTCGCTAAGCCTTTGATATTCTGGATATTCACCGTCTCGTATCTAAAGATCACCCGTAATTAGTTACATAGGAATATTATTATTCCCAATTTTCTATATAGAGAGATATGTATAAATGTAATTTATATATAATACCCGGCGAGATATGAGATTAGGAAGGTTAGTGCAGGAATGATGTTACACATGGCACTTCCCGTGGACGATGAAGCTAAGTAAATTCCTTCACAATACAGATTTTGATTCATTGTAATGCTGAAACAACAACAAAAAATACAAGGAAAATAGTCCAAGATTCATTAAATTAAAGGTCTTACGAAATAAAGCACAAACAAATATTTTACATGAAACATATACACTTACCCTAAAAGCGAAGCCATGAATATTAAAGAAAAGCTCTTTAGATCCAAATAAGATATCTTTGTTCTTCTCATACAATCCAAAACACACAAACCCATGAATTAGCAAGAAATAAATACAAATTCATATTCATATATTTAGAGAGGGATTTTGACTTTAGTTAATTACCTTGAGAAGTAGAGAAATGGGAAGATGAAAATGGTTGCAAAGAGTTGCCTGTAGAGGATAAAAACCCGAGGGATTGTTCCATTAACCAAAGTAGCTCTTGCAGAAAGAGTCACTCCTGCGTAACATAGTTGCAGCCCCATCATTGCCATCACCGGCTTGTACTCCTCTACATTCCCCATCTCTCTCTCACCCGCTCTCTTACTCTTTCTCTCTTCGTTATATGGTTTTGTTGTGAATAGTAGTATATATTTTAGAAACTAATATTTTTCCTGCGAGATTCATTGTTTATTCTCTTGTTAGAAATGATGACATATTTTATATATTCACTATTGTAGACGAATGAGTCCATGAGTTATCACTATCTTTTTGTGAATTATTTTTTTGTTTGATCAATTGTTAAAGTCGTGCAAAATGCAGGCACTTTTTTAGTACTGTCTAAGAATAATAAATAATTATCTCCTTCTACGGATCTAAATATGAACTAAGATTACATTTAAATACAATTTTTATCCTCGAATATATATGACTACCAACTGGCCGTTCAATTATCTGAAGTGATGAAGTATCATTTCTCCGAACCTCATCTTGTTAAATTTGTTGAATTAACAGAAGAACGCCAATAATTGATAATTTGACCTTCTTCCTTATATAACTCTAAACTTTTGTTTCTCCTAATTAATTTGAAGCAAAAACTGTGTAAAGTTATGTATCTAATCTGGTATGAGGATTTTGATATTTCAACCTGATCTTAAATTCAAATACATTGGTTAATTGTTATCAGATTATCTTTAGGAAACAAAAATTCAAAACTTATATGATGATTACATGTATTACCAACGACTTCTCTTATCCCCTAGACTAAATTAATTAAGATCACATGCATGGGAAAATCATATTAACAACCACAACATGCAAACCACTAGCAAATATTTGCACATGAAAGCAATCTCTCAACTAGGCCCATGTATAATTGCAGGTCCTATATATGCATGGTATGAACTATGAACGATTATACCATGATCTTTTCCCCTATATTTAGTCTGCTTCATTACAACATGCAATATCATTAATTTTCAAACATATATTGATGCGTGTTTTAGATCGTTTCTCATATGATAAAAAAACGATTCCCTCTGTTTTTAATTGGATGCTTAAAAAATTAACACAAACTAAAAAGGTTATATGTTCAATTTCATTTTTATTTGACTATTCATTAATATAGTATTTTTTTATTGATCTAATTAGAGGTAAACAGATAAATAAAAAATTACATCAGAACTATAAAACTATTTATTTTGTAGCAGATTCTTTACTATATGTAGCAATCTTTTTTTGAAAAAAAAAATATACGTAGCAATCTTTATTATGGTATTTTCTAACATTTCCATCAGCTGGCACCATTTTAAACCTTAATTATATATTTTCCAAGGTTAAATTAATAAGATCTTAGTACACGAGATCTGATCATCTCAGCATAACAGCTCTTTCCAGACTTGGTCTTGCGATTGTGCTGACGAGTAATCGGTAGGACCAGAACGATCTCATTAAAGTGTGTTCTATATTATTGAAAGCTAGACTTGGATTATTTATTCATACGTTTATTACAACAAATATATTACAAAATTTAATAAATAGAAGAAGAAAGAGATCTTGAATTAGTTTAACTGTTGCTGCCTTTGGATTTCTTCTGTTCATTTTTGTTAAGACAGAAGGGGTTTCTTCAGATCTTCGTTACACTTTTCAATGTCTGAAGAATCTTCGATTTGAATCTTCACTTCTGAGTTCTTATTACTGTCTATCGGTTCTTGATTCACCATGACATTTACATCTTTTGCTTTACCCCAGAGCACCATGTAAAGTCCCATGATCACGAATAATCCTCCGATTAAACTAAGAAAAAAAGAATCAAACAGATTTAATAAAAATAGTGTTTATGAATTGCAACTATACTCTATTAAGGAAAGTTAAAATTTTACCCTCCGGTGAACATCTCTTCTTTAAGGAACATAGAAGCCAAGATTGTGACAATGACTGTCGCGAGAGGGCTAAACATTGCTGAGAACAAAGGGCCTCTTTTAGATATAACCCAAGCTTGGACCGTAGTAGAAAGCGCTGACGTCACAACTCCCTAAAAAAATCATATTTTTAAAATTAGGGTTTATGTATGCTAAAAAAAAAATTCATCTCGAGTCATTTATGTGCTTACAGCGTAGAGACACGTCGCTAACTCGGAGTAAGAATGGAGAATCCAAGCGTTTGGGTCTTTCTCGAGAAAGAAAGTGACGATTGCACATTGTATCGTGCTGAATAAACACAGCCACGCTGATAAAGAGAGGTGGTCTGGGTAATAGGTTGAGATTGGAACCTAGAGTATTGTTGTAACAAAAGTTTAATTTTCTTATAAAGCAAGAAACGTTACCAACAAAAAAAAAAACAAGAAATAATGATCGTTCATGTTTAATGAAGTTTACCTGAATAATGAGTGAAAAAGACCAGCAAAGAGTGCTAACGAACACCAATAAACAACCAATCATCCATAAGTTCAGGTCCTTACTATCTCCTAGTAACGATTTGGTTATCGGTAAAGAAAATTCCGAGTTTAGAATCTTTGGTCCACGAATCAGAGCCATGGAGACGGCTCCTACTACACATATGACCGTCCCTAATATCTTTGCTAAGCCTCTGATATTCCGGAAATTCACCTTTTCATATCTAAAGATCAGCAGTATAATTAGTTACACCTGAATTTTGCAAATTTTTTTTATAAAGAGAGATGTATAAATGTAATATTATGTATATACCCGGCGAGAAATGAGATTAGGAAGGTGAATGCTGGGATCATGTTACACATGGCACTTCCCATAGACGATGAAGCTAAGTAAATACCTTCAAAATACAGATTTTGATACAGGGTAACACTGCAACAACAACAAGGAAAAATAGTCCAAGATTCATCAACTTAGAGGTCTAAAGAAATAAAGCACTAAGCAAATCTCTTATGTAGTACGGATTTTTAAGAACGGGAATTTTATGATATGTTAAGAATCACTTATGATAGACAAGTATACACTTACCCTACAAGCGAGGCCATGAATATTAAAGAAAAGCTTCTTCGATCCAAATTAGATATCTTCGATCTTCCCCTACAATAACACACACATATATATATTGGAGTTAGCAAGAACTAGTTACAAATTCATATACATATATTCAGAGAGAGAGAGAGATATGACTTTAAGTACCTTGAGATGAGGATAAATGGGAAGATGAAAATGGTTGCAAAGGCTTGCCTATATAGGATAAAAACCCGAGGGCTTAGACCATTAACCAAAGTAGCTTCTGAGGTAAAAGTCACTCCTGCATAACACATTTGCAGCCCCAACATGGCTATCACCGGCTTGTACTCTTCTACATTTCCCATCTCCTATCTTTCTCTCGCTCTTGCTCTTTTTCTCTCAGTGGTCTCCCCTCTTTATATGTTTACGTTATTAATAGTAGCTCGTAGTGGATGGTAATAATAATTTTGCCAAAGGCAACCCCAGCTAGCTAACAATTGTGTAAACATTTACAAACCTTCCTCATATTTATATGGACATATTTTGTAAAAAAAAAAATACTTTTGCTAGTTTAATTTTTTTATTCTCCTGCTAAAAACGAGGGATTATTTTTATATATTCATTACTGTAGACGAATGAGTCACAATTTCAAAAGTATATCTTTGTTTAATTTCGTGTCAAATGCAGCCACTCTGCTTCGCACGGATATAGAATGTGAACTAAGATAACGTGTAAACAATCATTTTTTGGGGTGTATTGTATGTAAATACAATCTTTATAGTCGCAAATACCTGCTTCCAACTGGCCGTTCAATTATTTGGAAGATAAATAAATTAATATTCTGCTCAACCTTGGTGAATTTACTGAAATACGACATTAATATCAATTCAATTTGACCTACGACCACACATAATATAAATTTTATGTTCATCCTAATTAAATTGAAGCAAGAAAATGAAAAGTTTTTTTTTTTTGGTAAACAAATATATGTAAAGTTGTTAAGCTAACTAGTATAGAGGATTTTGAATTTTAACCTGATCTTAAATTCGAATGCATAGCTTAATTGCTATAAGACTATGTTTAGGGATTAAAACTAAATATTGATTACATGTATTAACAACTACTTCTCTCATATATAGAATAAATTAAGATCCAACCTTCCCACATGCAAGGACGTGCCCATATAGTGTTAGAGAAGAGACATTAGCCTTAGAGCATGATTAATCTGGAGTTCTTATGATGAGTTCTTAGCGAAAATTAGGAAACTGTTTCTTAACTTTTAGCTAAAAAACTAAGAACATGTTCTTAAATAAGGATTTTAAGAACCGATTCTTAGTTTTTTTTGTTAAAAATTAGAAAAACAGTTTCTTAACTTCCATTAAGAACCCCACCTAAAAACTTCAGGTTTATCATTCTCTTAGGCAGCCACATAATTTATAAGAATTGGGGTCCCAAATCTTCATAAGCAATTCTTTCCTAATGGTTGAAAAATATTTATATTTGTATTTTTCTACTTAGCTCAAAACCAAACTTCTTTTTGGATTTTTGTTGATAATATAGAAAGAAAATATTTATTTACTTATTTTACTTATTCAAATTATAAAGATATAAATTATTTTTATTTTTCAAATTTATTTACACAAATATTATTTTACTTCCATTTTATAATTATTTATTTGTCATATTTAGTGGTGTTAGTTTTGATGATTAACATGCTAGATTTTGACTTTGTTTATAACATATACGAAGTCTATATGTTTTTTTCTTATATATACTATAATCTTTTAAATCTAAGAAAATTAAAAATGCTTTCATAAAAAATATTAATATAATTTATAAGAAAATGATGAGCAAAAAATAGAATTTTAAATGTTATCCTTGTTGTTCTAAATGTTATTTCACTATTAACTTTTTTCTTTGATATTTTATCACTGAAATTATATTATTATTATTATTATTATTATTATTTTTATTATTATTATTAAAAAATATAAAATCATGTTTTGAAAATTGCCTCAGGCTCCTAGAAGGACTAGCACGGCACTGCTATCATGCAATCATATTAAAATTCACAATATGTAAACTGTAGAAAAGGAGTTATAAGGTCTGAAGCCTTGATCACTAACAAAAGTTTGCACATGCATGGAAGCAATAACTCAACTAGGCCATATATAATGTATAGGTCATATGCATGATCGATTGCACCATGAAAGCCTTTATTATATTTAGCCTGCGTCATGCAAATGTGTAATGTCGTTGACTTTACATTTGAGTACATGCTTAGTCGTTTCTCTCAGATGATAGTATGTCATATTGCAAAACAAAACTATAGCAGATCAACAAACTAAGATCAAACTGTGAGTAAATCACGAGTCCAAAAATGATCGAGGCTGATAATATTTCACCCAATTTTACTTGTGAGTAATCACGAGTTCAAAAATTAACTGACAATTTTATGAAAAACGTTTTTATACATGTGTTGAAATCGTCCCTATTTTCAACGCAGGATAATCCAACACAATTTACCAACCAAGAAGCGAGCAAACGACCTAAAGTCAACCTTTTGTTCGCTTCCATTAACGTGAGAAGCTTCGCACCTCATATGAGACATCCTACTTCTCCAATGTCCCTTTGGTTTTGAAAGGATTATTGTTTTCCCATTGTATTATTAATTTCCTGCGCTAGAATCTTGTTTTAAACATGTTTTACACTATTTGTTTGTTCGGCTACAACCATTGTAAGAACTAAGAACATCCACATTAGATAAAACTTTTTTTTTTTTTTTAACAAAAGATAAAACTTAAATGGATCTCTCAAATCATTACTTTAATAATTAAAAATGGTAGTCAATGTAAAAATGACATTTAAAAAAAAAAAAAATCATCTACTGCTAATTGACATGTGCATCAATTTTCGATCTCTCATATGAGAGACGATTTTGTATTTCTCTCATATTTTTATAGTTATTTTTTTTTTTGAGAAATAATGCTGATGGCCTATATATTCACATATTTCTCAGTACACCAATTCATATATATCATATGTACGATTATATATACATATTAGTTACAGTGATATTTTTCTTAAAATACAATGAAAGGAAGAATCATAGTTGATTTTCGTTCATTTTTTTTTTATCAAAGAATTTCTTTCATTTTATTATAACGTTCTGTTCTAGAAACTTGTTTTCAACATGTTTCACGTGGCTAAACATTCATGTTTCAGTACACCAATTCATATAATCATATGTACGAATGATTACAGATCGTATACGAATTAGTGTTACAGCAGTGACATTTTTCTCAAAGCTTATCGTTTCATAGTAAAGTCTTTTTTTGGACAACTCATAGTAAAGTCTAAATTAAGCTTTTACAAACTTCTCCGATATGACTAATTTACGTAATTAGGGAGGGAGAATGATTTCAATTTGTCCTTGGAAGAGTAGAAGCCACGTATTAGTCTTCCTTTAATTTAATGGGACAACATATCATTATAAGGAAATTATGTTTGTTGATTATACATTATCGTATTATATACTTATTTATTACACGTTACTTTAAACAAATTTTGGGCCGTCTCGGTCGTAGATTCGTAATATATCTCATGACTCACAAAATTGAAGCTAATCCACTCATCATTCCGCCGATTCTACTGTTTTGACTTTCAAGTGATTTCACATGGCTGATAGAAGTTTGATACTGATTTCTCATGCATTAACTAATTTAACTTTCAAACTTAATCCTAGAAACACACAAATCCTTTGTTTCAACGACACATGGACAACCTACATCTACATGTACATATTTTTGAAACCTATATGTACATATGAATATGATAAGAATGGTGATCGTAAATATACAAAATTAATGAAAAGGAAAGTTTTGTTGCTGGACTTAAATAGTAGAATTATATACAACTCCAAAATACTCGGATCCTCGCCAAATGATGGTACCCTTTACTCATCTATTACATCAAATTTTAGGCATTATCAAACGGGTAACTCTATTTATGAATGTAAAACCAAACCCCCAATAAATATATTGAATATTGATATTTCTATGCAACGGAGTATATATTAAGGGCACGAAACATTTTCATAAATATTTGGGTATTGACAATATCAATCAATGAATCAGAATCAGAATCAGAATCAGATAATATAGATGGTGGACGAGGGATGGTGGGCGTTGAGATTAAGGAGAATGATGGTGGAACGTGAATCACGGGTAATCAATATTTAGATATGAATTCTCGCGTTACCAGACTATCCATGTTTTGGAGAACAAATTATCTATTTCTATAGAACGGCAAATTCTATATTCTGTACTTACTGTACATCTATCAATTTCATTGTCATCCATGTGTGAATATTCATGTTCAATAAATATCAGTTTTTCGTTTTCTCGATTTAAATTTGCGAATAATAAATTCTATATTATACACCATGTCTTTAAAATTCGTATATATACATATCTTCTTTAAATTATATTGTTGATTTTTCTTTTTCTTTCAAAACCAGGATTTTCCAAAGTTCGCTTATACACCATATCTTTATAATTCATATATATATATATATATACATCTTCTTTAAATTATATAATTGATGTTTCTCTTTTCTTTTCGAAACCAGGCTTTTCCAAAGTTCGCTATCGCCGCATATTACCACTAAAACTGTGTTAATGTTTCATATAAAATTTCACAGACAGCAACAGTTTTTTTTTTGTTAGTGTCTATTTATTTATTGGTAATAAAGATTAACTCGTTCCAAAAAATGCTAATTCCGACTCGATTTGATCTACATGGAAAACAGAATATCATTGTTTATCACCTCATTGGTAAAAGAATTTACAAAAAAAATCCCTAGACCTGGGAATATGCATAAATGCTAAATCCTGAAAACTCAAATCGGAATGAGACTACCTCAAAAGCAAAGACTGTCTAACCGATTAGGTTAGTAATTATGTCCATAGTGATATGTAAATATCATAAGTAGAATATCTCATAATAATCTCTCGATCTCAACATGGAGAGTCGAGAAACTATTACGGCAATGCAACCTTATACAGTCCAAATTCCAAAGCGTTCAGTTGCCATTTGATTACTATTGGTCCACCTTAGTCCACTGATCAAACCATGATTGATAAAGAAGCGTACTCAAGAAGTCCATGTCTTGGTAAACAAATGTACTCAAGAAGAAATCCGGAATAATCCGATATAGATCATACCTGGTTTACTGGAGGGCATTCACAATGTAGATGGTTATACTTTCCTCTTAAGCAAATCATATCTGAATTTAACCGAGTAAACTTTGGATTTTGTATGTTTTCATGGGTACTCGTCTATGGACCACATATGACTAGGTCTC